TTTTTTTTTTGTACAAGGGCCTAGCACAACAAATTTCCTCAAAGGAAATCAATCTGGAAATTGTTAAGCTTTTAGAATAGCTGTGGACATTGGTATCCTTAAAAAAAATGATTTGGGAGGCCGTGTCTCTCCTGTAAATTAGTGATGTTTTCTAGTTTTTCTATCCTCCACATGACCATGGTTAATAGAAAAAATGCTCTTCTCCAGACATCCCTCATCACTAGCATATTTGAAAGGAGTTCAAGTGAAGGGGGATGCTGACCACAGCTTCTCTATTTCAGTCCATGTGTTGTAGAGCAAGGTAGACCAGAAGGCTAGTGTTCTAAAATGAGCGGCTAAGTAATAGTAATCGTACATCACAGGACATAGGCGTCTATAGTCTGAAACACTGGTTTATACTGCCACATTCAATGTTGGACACTGGCATAGCTTTAAGCCCAATATACCCCTCCAACTCTCAACAAGTCTCAGTTTTTTTGCTAGCGTCCTTAGGAAACAAACACCTCAGTAGAGGTCTTTTATATTTCCCTTTGGATTTTTTCTCAAGATTTTCTTCATTTGCAGGATCCTTCAACTGCAACTAGCTACTGTGAGAAAAGTGGCAGCTTCTGGACTGTTTACTCCTTACCTGCCCTGGGAACCATACCTTGCTAGTGAGCTTGGAGTGGTGGCTAATTTACAACACACACATAGGGACCATGTGGTACAAAAGTAGCCACCCTCCAGAAGGAAGGACAGTGTCAGCATGAATTCAGAGATGATTTGAGAATCTATAGCCGATTGATGCACAAATAAGGTACATTTGTGTTAAAAGCTAAGGTACTTGAATGCATAGGGTGTCTGCAATTATCGTGGCTATGTCAGTTCTAAGGTGTTTGGACACCTCAGATGCTATCAGGGCATAATCGATAGATGTGGTGGACAGGGAGGCAGGGGTTAACTCACCCCCTGACATGCCTGTGTCGTTCTCCTGCTGCATGTCGTCCGCGGCCATGTTGGAAATATCCCCCTCCGTCAGATGCTTGGTCTGTGAGCAATCTGCGAGCCCGCGGCTGCCGCTCCAGATACTTGTCCATGACAAGGGAGTGATCGTGGGGTTGTCAGTGACCGGTCGGGTGCGGGAAATGTTCCGGTAAGCAGGTGTTAGGTGGATGGCGGGACGGAGCTCCGTTTCGCTCGTCTACAGCATCGGGCGCCGGAACCGGAAGTGAATGCATTTTTAAGATTTAATTCTTGAGTTTAGCGTGACTTTAAGGACATGATTATGGTTCCTATTGATGCAGTGCACAAGTGTTAAGACCTAGAGCAGCCTATGTTGGCCATACCTAAGGTTACCAGCATGGGGTCCCTGAAAAATGAGAGGCCTGTTAAATGCTTCCTTATTATTCCCCCTGTTATTTATAGGCATTGGCTTAATTATGAAAATATGTTTGCACCACCCAAATAGTTTGCTTAGCAATATCCTTAAATGTTCTTGAAAAAGTGAGCTGTTCCGCACGTTGATCTGGCCATGTCCTGTCTCAAAAAAAACCTTAATGGTCATTGATGAAGATGTTCCATCTTTAAAGATCCTGTGGACAAAGCTTTGTTTTTATCTAGCAGGCTCTACTATGCAACATGCTGTTGTGGCCATGTCTGTTTGTCAGTCTCCGACTGTCTGGTCCGACACTATTGCCCAGGACCCTGGGTTCATTTTGACGTTCAGTTCTCCATCTGCTGCAGCTTTTACCAGTAGCTCTACACTACTGTGTAGATGGGATGGTGGACATGAACCATCAAATCTGTAGGATGGGCCTCTTTGAAGTCCTGGCATGGTGCATATCTAATAAAGTGGTTGGATTGGGGAAATCCTGGCTTTCAATGGTTTGGAAGGTTCTCCCGACAGATGCCAACCTGTCGGGCTGGGAGGAGTTCTGGGTACCCTAGCGGTGCAGGGGACTTGGACATCAGATAAAGCTGGACTTCTAATCAATATTCTGGCGCTCCAAGCCATTTGGTTGTCACGTCAATTCTGTACCTAATTGCTGCATAGTCACCTGACCAGGATTTAGTCAGACAATGCCTCAGCAGTGGCTTATGTCAATCATCAGGATGGAGTCAGAAGTCATGCAGCTCAAAGGGAAGTGGACCTGATTCTGGCTTGAGCAGAACTTCACATTCCAGCCCTCGCCACCGTGCCCATCCCAGGCGTGGAAATAGGCGGGCTCCCAAACAACCTAAGGAATCTTCTCTAAATTTTTTAGATGTAGTGCGTGCTGTTCAGGTTTATCTCTCAGCTACCGCCTCTTTTTGTTAGTCCAACTATTTGTCATTCCTGAAGGCCCTCACAAAGGTCATCAGAACAACTCATTTGTCAGGCTTATGACCTTAAGGCACAGTAGTCCTCTTTTTCAGTCAAATGCACTTTACTAGATCTGTCAGTGCTTCTTGGGCCTATTGCCATCTGTTTCTCAAATTTCCGGGGTGCCACCTGGCCTGTTCATACATTTCTTAAGTTTCGGCTTCAGTTGTAAGATGCTTCAGATGACCCTGTAAATAAAGGTCCTCTCGGTTCCCTTATTTCATTTTATGGGCCTGCTAGTAATTTATTTGCTGTGTTGTCCACTCCTCAGTTAGACATCCCAGTGTTCCAGACTATAAAAGCCAGTGTCCTGTGATGTATGAATAAGAAAATAGGAAGTTTGCCTTACCTGTAAAATCCTTTTCTTGGAGTACATCACAGCACACAGGCCCCATCCCTCTGTGCCTTATGATCCATTCTTCTTGTTACTATACCTTTAAGTTTAGTTTGGTTTGCTAGAATATCTTTAGGCATGCATATAAATGGGGTGGATGCTATCTTTGTTTTAAGGTGTTTGAGCTTCACTTCAGGTAGCTTGCCAGATTATTGGCTCTCTTTTCAAGGTTTGATGAAATTGCTTTACATTGACCTCTAAAAAAAACACTTTATGGACTACGTATATACAGCAATGTTGGATTTCTATGTTTATATTTTATTGAAAGTATTTTTATAGGATATTTGACAGTTTGCACTTGGTAAGTTCATTTTTCAAGAAAAAATTCATTTGCAATGACAAGTTTTAAATCTTTTAGTTACAATCCTATTATGAGGGTGATTGGTGCATGGTCTGACCAGGCTATGGGTTTGATTCAGGAGTCTTTACTAAGGAGTATTTACAAATAAGTAGTTCAATCTTTTGTAATTTTTTTAGAGTAGAGAATAAAAGGTATATTGTTTATCCTTAGGGTGGGCTATTCTTCAAGCATCAAAGGGTGCATGTTGTCTATTAGGCAGAATCGAAGGGCTGCTTATTCGTGTCTTGGGAAGTGTTATTGGGATTCAAGGCAAGACTGTCCGTAGTGGGGAAGAATGGAAGGTTAAAATCTCATTCAAGGAATAAAAACATATGTTCCGAGGATAAGAGGTGTACGCAAATGTTTTTTAGAAACAGTATTTGGTTAGTGTTCGAAGCATAAACATTTGGATTATGTTTGTGTTTTGTCATTTTCATTTTCATTGAAATATAATATAATGGCCATATTTACGTATTTATCTATAAATTAGCATAGTTGGTATGGAGATGTTGTTTAAGGACAAATATGCAGTCGAGAAGTATCTGGCGCAAACCTAAAATAACCCATTTTTAAAAGTGTATTTCCTGAAAATAGATAATATCTACACCCAAATGCCTGTACAGCTATTTTATCATGGTGGTGGGATAGAAGAAGAATTTTCACACAACTAAAAGTGTTGTTAGAATCTATCTATCTATCTATCTATCTATCTATCTATCTATCTATCTATCTATCTTTATAGTAGCAGTTGCAGATTCTATTAATCATGTGCTCCAGAAAAATTGCATTTTCATCTGTGTTCACATTGCCTGCTGGTGTTACAGCTATACTGCAGAGCTGAACAAGAAAAAGTTCTGTTTTCTTTTTCATTGTAAACTTCCCTGCTGCTTTTATGTCTATACTGTTGCTCAAATTTAAAAAAGAACGTTTGTCCTTCAGCTATTTAAAAATACGGTGTGTCTTGTACAACTAAAAGAATCCACACGCCAGCACTGGTGCTTGGCAATTTGCCTCTCAGGTACTGAGCGCTAGCACATGGGTGGGGGGACAGGGAGTCCTTAGCCCTGCATAAGCTTCAATTAGATTGACTTGGAGCTTGCCAAGGGCTTCATCTCTTAAGGTGGCCATACACCTTACACCTTTTTTTTTGTCCAGATATTTCACCCTCATTCAATTTTCTTACAACTAGCCTTTCCTGCACAGACCAATGTAGTTCGCAATTAACGCTCATCAGCACCACCACCTGGCCGGTTTTCATCGATTGAAAGGACAGATTTTCGTTTGAGCATGTGCAGTTTTCATCTTGAGATTTTTGTTGTACAACAACACCACTAACCTGTCAATTTACGTCCAACTAGACAAGCATTTTCTAGCCTGTTTGAAAGACAAAAATCTGACAGTTGTACAGTAATTGAGGTTGTGCACTTCCCATCAACTGGCAGATTTTCAGACAAAAATGCAATCGCAGACACAAATCTCCAGATAAATGTAAGGTGTGTGCAAACCTTTTTTTTTAAATTAGTTTATATAGATCAATAATGTGAAATATACATTATGTATTATTTAGCCCTTATACTGTTTGGCCCCCTTGGATTACAGGGGCTCACGCTGCCCATGGCTTAGTGTATCTGCTTCATTGCTACTGCTAGTTCTAATAAAATCTGAAATTATGAGTGACAGCAAAAAATAGTGGAGAGAGGACTTACAAACAATTTCCATCACAAACCCTTTTAGTTTACAGCACTAGTTTCTTGCAGTCTTCCTGTGAAAATATTCCCTTTCCCTGTACAAAATGATGTTGCTAGAGAAAATAACTGACACACAAATTATCCCAAAGGATAATGTGAAGATTTAACATGCTGAAGGATAACCAGGAGCTGTTTGTTCAGTGCAAAACTAATTCTTTTGTTGTTTCTGTCCCATAGGGCCAGCGGTGGCGCAGAGAATTTGAGGATGAAAAACCAGTTGATTTAGAAAGCTCTGGAGATGATGACTTCATTGATGAGGAAGAAGCTGATGATGTATATTCTGGATCGGGATCTGGTGGTAAATATGATGGAAACTCACTCAAACATAGCTTCTAAAAATATATACATATTATA